GCCCTCCGGGCAGCGCCTCGTCCCGCGGGGGCTCCTCGCTGCGCCCCAGGCTCGGCTGGCGGTAAGCGTGCGCCCTCCGCGCGTCCCGCCTCGCGTGCCGGCCGGGCGCTGGCCAGGTGCTGAAATGGGCGGCTGTGGCCAGGAGCTGGGCGGGGCTGGGAGTCCTCGACGGCCGTGCTCAGCAGCCCAAACGGACGCCTCCTTTCTCCCCTGGAGGCGTCACCAGCCGGGAGATGCTCCAGCCCAAATCGGGGAGGGCTAGGCCCCTGGTTCCCAGTCTCCTTCCACACCTCACTGCTCCCAGCGGCCACATCGTCAGCTCCCCTCCCCCTCGCTGCGGACCACCAGCCTCTTCTAACATGTTGGCTCCCGGGCCCTCTCCTCCCATCCTTTCGGTGTCTTCCACATCCTTATGGACAGTGCTTTCAACTCCCTGGTCTCGGGTTTTCAGGGTGCGCAACCCTGTCCTGGGGCCCCTCAGCCCTCAATCATATCCTAGACCTTCCCATCAACACACACTGAATCAGCTCCAAAATCTCAGTTCAGAGATTCCATCGTTCCACGATTCATTCAATAAAAATTTAAAGAGAGCCTGTTGTGTGCTCTTCATCCACCCATCCTTTCATTCAGCGTCTCCACTAAGCACCTATTTGATGCTTGGCACTAGGCTCCCAACTCTGCCTTCAAGGAGCTGACGTTCTTACACAAGGAATGGCAAGTGTTCTCTTAGTGGCTACTTTGTGCCCAGCACTGTTCTACTCGGTTCATGCACAACTTGCTCATTTGGTCCTCACAACATTCAGATAAGAAGCCTTCCCCGAATCACTCCTGGCGAGTGACAGAGGAGGTAAGGCAAGTGTCCCCTTCACCAGCACGCAGAGAGCAAATCAATACCGCATGCAGCGCCAGGCCGCAGTGAGCTGGGAGAACAGAACGAGGAAACAGCGTCGCCAGTGATGGTGGAGGAGGCCCCTCTACCACCCCGGCAGGAAAGACCTCTCTCAGGAAGCGATCCCGAGCGGACCTGAATGTCGTAGAGAAGTGAGCTCTGCAAACTGAGGCCAGGACACTGAGTGCAGAGGCCCTGGGCGCCGTCTCCAGGCTGTGCAGACCTGGGCGCGGCTCTGGCTTCTGTTCCGAGTGTGATGGGAAGTCAAAGGAGACTTCTGAGCAGAAAGGTCGTCATCTGGCTCTTTGTCTAAAAGGGTCCCTCTAGCTGCTGAGTGGGGAACTGACTGCAGGGGCCTACGTGGATCACCTAGGATGCATTCACAGGTAAGCAACCCAAGCCCCAGCTACTTATCAGTGGCTTATTCAATACAGTTTTAATCTGACTTGATAACAAGTCATAAAGTATGCAATTTCAGGAACACAGACTCTTTCCATCCCTCCTGCCTCCCATGGGCACCACGTACACTTTTTGCCCTCATGCTTGTCACCTAATGGCCCAAGGCAGCTGCCATAGCACGAAGCATCACATCTTTACACCACCATCTCAAATAGGAAGCAAGGGGCAGGCATAAAAGGACATCCATTTTTTAAAATAAATGTATGATATCCTTTTATAACAAAGGCGTGTTTTCTCAGAAGCTCCCCAGAAAATTTCCCCTTAAATTCCACTGGGCAGACCTGGGCCATATAACTACTCCTGGCTTCAAGAGGGTGGAGAAGTGAACGTACGGGAAAGGGGACTAGGACTGCCCTCATCCACTGAGAGGGCACATAGCGGCCCCAAACATAATCAGGGTTCACTTAGCTGGGAAGTGGAAGGCTGTGGGGGAGCTGCCAGCAGGCCTGTGACAGAGAGAAATAGGGAGGACACTTAGGGGTTTTTGACAGAAGCCCGAAAGAGGGGTGGTGTGGTTTGGGTAAGAAGCATCGTGCCAAGTGGCTCTATTGTAGAGCTGACTGAGTTGCTGATGTGTCGGTTGGGAGATGTGAAAGAAAGAAACATGGAGGCTCTTAGCTTTTGACCTAAGCAGCTGTTGGCTGGTGCTCTTTACTGAGATAGGGAAGATGAGGAGAAGAGTTTATTGGTCATGGGATGGAAATTAAGAATTTTGTATTTGACGTAGAAGTGGAGATGTTGAGTAGGCAGCTGGGTGTCACAAGGGATGCTCAGACGAGAGGTCACTACTGGAGAGATGAATCTGGAGGCTGTGTTGAATACTTCGTGCCTGCCCCCCCCCCCACTCTGCTCTGTGCCATGCACTGACCTGTGTAGGTCACATCAGCTCACTCCCTTGACCTCTGGCTCCTCGTTGTTCTGGGCCTGTGAGGAGCACCAGTAGGCACCTAGAGGAATAAGGAGCAGCTCAGGGCGTTTATTCTGCAGCTCCCTCCTGCTGGGTCACCTGGGGTTGGCTGTAAGCCTCAACTGACGGTCCCAGCTCCTGTCAGGCACCCTTTCTACCCTCCTTTTTCTCCTTCCAGGTTCCAGGTACACAGCTTGCTCAGTGAGGAAGTGCATACAGCAGGGGTATAAACCTTGTCCAGTGAGTTTTTCTGCAAAGGGGAGCAGAGACATGGAACAATAGCTAGAGAGAGATGTGGCATGAAGGGAGTTTTGGTGTTATTTTAAAAGATGAGGATATTATTGGACTTTGCATGCTGATTAGAATGACTCAATAGAAAGAAAAATTGCTGATGTAAGAAAAAGGATGTATTGCCTAGTCTAGGCGAGAGGGCATAGGACTCGGGACGGTTCCTTCGTGCAGCAGAAGGGAAGGCAGAGCGCAAGACTCTAGGCACAGGTGGGTTGGTGGATTAATTGGGGGAGGATGAGGACTGTCTTTTGATTGCTCTACTTTCTCAGTGAAATAAGAAACAAGATGATCGACAGAGAGTGAGACGGGGCATTGCAGGCTGGAAGGAGGAGCAGGTTTGAAACGCTCATCCAGGGGAGCAAGAAAGAGGAGTCACGGGGGAGATGTGCTGAGGCGACAGGCAATGTGGAGACTCAGTGGGGTGGAGAGGGAAGCGTCTCTGGAAGTGAGAGAGCTAGGACAGGAGGCTGGAGTTTGTCACCCCTCAATGACACTATTCTTCCTCCCTGGGCCTTCCAGCTCACTTGCTCCCCCCCATGACCTCAGTGTCTCCTGCCTCCACCCCCTCCTTTCCCGGCAGGACTCCCTGGCCCTCAACCTCTGTCCTACTCACCTGGCAAACGCCCACCTCGAACCTCCAGGGGTACCCCCATGAGGCTCCAGCCGCTGCAGAAGGTCACACACTGGTCCCCCACGGTCCCCCAGGAAGTCCTCAGGGCTCCTCGAGTTGGTCCTGCCCTGGTGCTTGGCGATGGCATTGTAACCACCCTCCACTGTCCTCGAAGCTCAGCCCCCTGCCTGTTCTTGGAGGGTGGGCCTTGCCCACCCTCCCCTCACGGCACCTGCGAGCCCAGCGCCTCTTTGGCTCCTCTCGTGGGTGTTCCTCCACCTCTCTTTCTTCCAGCTTTACTGAGATATAATTGACGTATGACATTGTGCCAGTTTAAAGTGTACAATGTGATGAATTGATACATGCATATATTGTAAAACGATTACCACAATAAGGATAGTTATGTCCATCATCTCACATCGTTACCTTTTTTTGTTTTTGTGATGAGAAGGTTAAGCTCTGCTCTCTTAGAAACTTTCAAGTGCACAATACGGGTGATTAACTGCGGTCACCAAGCTGTACGTTAGATCCTCAGAACTCACTCATCTTATAACCAGAAGTTTGCACACTTTGACCAACATTTCCCCGTTTCCTCTACTCCCCAGCCCCTGGCAACCACCTTTCTACTCTCCATTTCTGTGAGTTCAGCTTTTTTAGATTCCACATATAAGTGAGATCATATATTATTTGTCTGTCTCTGTCTGACTTACTTCCCTTAGCATAATGCCCTCCAGGTTCATCCATGTTGTTGCAAATAGCAGGATTTCCTTCTTTTTTTATGGCTCTACTCATATATTTCATTGTATGTATATCACATATTCTTTGTCTGTTCATCCATCAGTGGACACTTAGGTTGCTTCCATGTCTTAGCTATTGTGAATAATGCTGCAGTGAACATGGGGGTGCAGATATATCTTTGAGATAGTGATTTCATTTCCTTTGGATGGATACTCAGAAGTGGGATTGCTGGATCATATGGTAGTTCTATTTTTAATTTTTTAAGGAACCTCCATACTGTTTTCCCGAGTGGCTGTACAAATTTATATTCCCACCAACAGTGCACAAGTGTTCCCTCTTCTCCACATCCTTGCCGGTACTTATCTCTTGTCATTTTGATAATAGCCATTCTGACAGGTGTGAGGTGATAGCTCATTGTAGCTTCGATCTGCATTTCTCTGATGATTAGTGAAGTTGAGCATCTTTTCATGTACTTGTTGGCTGTTTGTATATCTTCTTTGGAAAAATGTCTATTCAGGTCCTTTGCCCATTTTTTAACTGGGTTATTTGAGGTTTTGCTATTGAGTTGCCTGAGTTCCTTATACATTTTGGATATTAACTCCTTATCAGATACTATGTGGTTTGCAAATATTTTGTCCCACTCCGTAGGTTGCCTTTTCATTTTCCTGATTGTTTCTTTTGCTGAGCAGGAGATTTTTAGCTTGATGTGGTCCCGCTGGTTGATTTTTGCTTTTGTTGCTTGTGCTTTTGGTGTCAAATCCAAAAAATCTTTGCCAAGAACAATGTCAAGGAGTTTTTCCCTGTTTTCTTCTAGGAGTTTTATGACATCAGGTCTTATATTTAAGTCTTTAATCCATTTCAAGTTAATTTTTGTGAGTGTTGTAATATAGAAGTTCAGTTTCATTCTTTTGCATGTGAGTGTTCAGTTTCCCAGCACTGTTTGTTGAGAAGACTGTCCTTTCCCCATTGAGTCTTCCTGTCACCCTTGCACTTAGTTGACTGAATATGCATGGGTTTATTTCTGGGCTCTCAATTCTGTTCATTTGTCTATGTGTCTATTGCTATATCAGGACCACACTGTTGTGATGACTACAGCTTTGTAAGACCCTTTAAAATCAGGAAGTGGGATGCCTCCAGCTTTCTTCTTTCTCAAGGTTGCTTTAGCTCTTTGGGGTCTTTTGTGGTTCCGTATGAATTTTAGGATTGTTTTTTCTATTTCTATGAAAAATGCCATTGGAATTTTGATCGAGATTACTTTGATAGCTTTGGGTAGCATGGATGTTTTGACAATATTAACTCTTCCGACCCATGAACCTGAGGTGTGGTGCAGTGTTTTTCCATTTATTTGTGTGGTCTTCAATTTCTTTCATCAACGTCTCATAGTTTTCAGTGTACAGGTCTTTCACTCCCTTGGTTAAGTTGATTCCTAAGTATTTTATTGTTTTTGATGCAGTCGTGATAGGATGCGCCTCCCTTTCTAAATCCCACTTTGCCACTACGTGTGTGGTCCCATGTGGGGAGTTGGCAGGGAGAACTGGGAGGAATTTGTTGTTTCGTATAAAATTAATGTCTAATTTAACATAATAAATTTAAGTAGCGCATGAGGCTCATGGAGGAGGAGGAGCTCCTGCACCTCCAACTTGTTGGAGTCCCCTCAGCGTTCCAACTCTCTTCTGAATTAGCACCCCACGTGTATCCTTTGACCATCTGCTCCAGCCTGCCACCACCCCTCTGCTCTGGACACCCTCCCTAATGGCGCCACATTGGTATCTACTTTTTAAAATCAAACAATGAGCACATACAAATTATAAAATATGTATAAGGCTTAAAGAATAATAATACAACAAACGCCTGTGCTCCCAACAACCAGCTCAGGAAATAGACCCGGGAGATCCTGCGAAGCCCATGTGCCCCTCCCAGACCCCACTTCCCACAGAGGCCACACTGTCCTGAGTTTTGGGCTCACCATTCCCCTCTTTCTTTATTGTATCCCTGCACAATATTTGTCTAGTTTTACACGCTTTTGAACTACACATGAACAGGACTGAGCTGCATATGTCCTCCTGAAACTCGCTTTTCACTGGATATTCTGCTGCTGTGATGCACCCGTGTCATCACACACGGTTGTGAATCGTTTGTGGTCACCACATATGTTGGTCTGTTGTATGACAATTTATTTGTCCATTCTACTTTGACGGAGATTTGTGCTACTTCACGTTTTCTGCTATTTCAAGCAGTTCTCCAGTGAACATTTAATTCAGGCCTCCTGGTACACGGGCCACAGGATTAAGTCTCAACCCCACTGGATATGCTCGATTGGTGCCGAGAGTGTACCCCTTAACACTCCCTCGGCAGCACACAGACCCTAGTGGCTCCACACTTTCCCAACAGTCTGGTATTATCGGGACAATACTTTTGTCAATCTGATGGAAATTTCAAATATCTTGCTGTGGCTTTTAATCTGCATTTCCCTGATTACTAATGAAGTTGAGCATCTTCTCATACGTTTATTACCACCCATATCTTCCCCTTTGTCGAAGCTCCTGTTCAAATCTTTTGTCCACTTTTCGACTGGGTCATTTTTCTCCTTACTGACTTGTTGAAGTTCTTATATGTTCTGGGTATGAACCTCTGTCAAGTACATGTTGCAAAATCTTCTCTCACTCGATATACACAAGTTCTTCACTGTAATGTAATCTAAATATAGCCAACTTTCCCTTTATGCTTTGTGCTTTTCAAATTATAGGAAATTCTTCCTTAATTCATTGTTGTGAAGGTATTCTTTTGCATATTCTTCTGAAATGTTGAGAATATGTTCTCAGTCTCTTCTAAAATTTGTATGAATTGCTTTTTGCACTTGAAACCACATGCAGCTAATTCTTCTGTATGATGTGAGGCAGGAGTCCACTTTCGTTTTTTATATAATTAAATTGTCAGAGCATCGTTTATGGAAACGTATCCTTTCCGCACTGCACAGCCAACTGTCATACATCAAAATGTGTCTATGTATCCGTCTGTTTCTGGACTCTCCGTCCTGCTCAGATGACGCACCTGTGTATGTCTAGCCCAACACCACGCTGTATTAACTACTAGCGCTCTACAGTAAGGTCCATAGCCACACCTAGTTTTCTTCTTTAGGAGAACTTTTGCTATCCCTGAGCTTTTATTCATCGGTATAATCTTTGGAATCAACTTGGAAAGTTATACACACAAACACAGTGGGTATTTGACAGGAATTACATAGAGTCAATAGATCAATTTCGGACAAATATACATCTTTGTGATATTGAGACTTTCAGTCTATGAGCAAAATATATATCTTCATTTATTTGTATTATTTTTAGTTTATTTCAATAGTTTTATGATTTTCTCCAGGAAGGCCCTGCACGTTTGTATGAGACTCATTCCTGGCTGTTTTATGTTTTCATGCTGCAGTGAAGAATTCCATTCCTGGGGCCAGCCTGGTGGCATAGTGGTTAAGTTTGCGCACTCCACTTTGGCAGCCCAGGATTCGCGGGTTCAGATCCCGGGCGCAGACCTACACACTGCTCATTAAGCCATGCTGTGGAGGAAGTGGAGCTAACAGATGTTAGCTCAGGGCCAATCTTCCTCACACACAAAAAAAGAATTCCATTCTTAAAGTTACATTTTCTGTTGCTCATGTTTAGAAATGCAGTTCTGTTTGCATATTGATTTTGTATACAGCAACATTGCTAAATTTTCTGGTTAATTCTAATAATTTGTTAGATTTCTTTGTTTTCTATGTAGATAACATTTAAAAAATGTTTTGTTTCTTCTCTTCCAATTCTTACCTCTTTGTCTCTTTTTCTTATCTTCCTGTGCTGGCTGGGATTTACTGTGCTAGTGGGCGAGTGACATCCAGAAATGCGACAGTGGGCATCTGTCCTGTGCCTCATCTTAAATAAAATACTTTCAACCTTTCACCATTAAGTATGATGTTTGCTCTGTCCTTTTTTGAAAAATAGATACCCTTTATCAGATTAAGAAATTCTCCTCCAGTCTTAATTTCTAGCAGTTTTCATCGTGAACAGATAACGAATTCTACCAAGTGTTTTTCTGCATTGAGATGATCATCTACTTTTTCTCCTTCTATATGTTAAGGTGGTGGTTTACATTAATTGATTTCCCAGAGTTAAAGCACCATCTCATTCCTGGGGTAAATCAGACTTGGTGGTGATTGATTATTGTCTTTCCACACTGTTCAAGTTTGGTTTCTAGTAGCTGTCTAGAGTTTTGCAGCTGGGTCTCTGAATGACGGTGCCCTGTCGTTTTCTCTCTGGTGCTGTTCTTATCAGACTTTGGTATCAAGGTAATGCTGGCCTGGGAGCATTTCTACATGGAATTCGTATTTTGAAAGTTCAGCAGAACTCACTGACTGGGCTTGATGTT